AAGTTTGCCCAAAATCACACAGCTTAGCTCTGGGGCCAGAATTAAAACCAAGACTCTGACTCTAAAACCCTCTAAAATTTTATAATCTACTCTGTTGTGCATTTTGACCACCAAGCATGGTTTTTTTTTTAACTTTTGACAGAGGGTCTTCAGAGAGATGATCTCATTTGATCAATGTCTCCCTGCTCATATTGTCAGTGCCTTTGACTGAGAAACCGAGTCTCCCATTGGGAAGACTGTACGAGCCTCTGCAGTCACCTGGAGACCCCTGCCCCTGCTCTTGGCCCCTCTAGCCAGTCTCATGGCAGCCAGAGAAATTGTTCTAAAGCACAGATCTGGCCAGGTCATTCCCTTGCCTAAAACCTTCAATGGCTCCCCACTGCCCTCTGGAGAAAGCCCAAGCTCAATGGCTTGGGTGACAGGCTCAGGGGTTTCCTGGAAGCTGACGGTTTGCTCATGTAAAAGCAGTCCAGGGAATGGCCCCTCTTCTCAGCTGAAGAAGTTGGCTTGGAAGGAAGTTAGGGTGAAGGCAGGGTTGGGGAGCACTCGCCTGTGTCTGTCTTTTGTATCAGTTCCAGCCTCAGGGCATTGTTTAGTCTCACTCTAGCAGCTTCATCAGTTGTATGTTTTCTGGGGGCAGGATCACCACCAAGGGGGTTCCGGGGCCGGGGATGGGGATGGGGAAGGAGATCCAAGGGCTACGAGAAGAGAGGGTCAGTGGGAGAGAATGGCAGTTTCCCTGCAGGGAGGGATGTTGAGGAAAGAGTGGAGGTGGTCCACATGTGCGTGGGAGAGTTTGCTGTGGGTGTGTGACGTGACCCTTTCCTAGTTTCTTGCTGGATCCCCGAGAAAATGGACATGCCATTAGAGTTGGATATGTGCTTTCAAAAAGCTGTGGGGACTACCGAAGAGGTCTGGGTGAGAGCAGAAGTGTCCAGTGACGCATATGGGATGTGGACATGGAGGGTCCCACCCGCTCTGAAGGGGGATGAGACTCTGAGCCCCTCCTACCTTGCTGTTCATGGTGTTTTGGAGCGAAGACTCGATTTTCTTGTGAAAGAGTTGGATCAGCCACCTGGAGAGTGACACGTGGGGACAGGCATGAGGCTTTCCAGACATCCTGAAGCTGCATTCAGAAAGCTGCCTCATCTGGGAAGCCTTCCCCCCTCTTCCAAAAAGACCTAACCACCCTCTCCCCTAGGCTCCAACTGTGTACATCCCCATAGACACTTCTTCCCCTGTGTGCAGTGACTTGTGTATGAGGTCATTTCTTCAATAGGTACACAGCTGGCCCCACCCTGTCTCAGCTCATTCCTCACCACTCCCTTCCTCTCTGAACTCCAGCCACACTATTCTGCCGTATCCTCTTGTGTCCTGTGCTTCCTCCCACCACAGGGCCTTTGCACATGCTGTTTGCACTGCTTCAACCACCCACTGTCCCCAACCTAATTAACTCCTACTTATTCTTTCATCTCAATTCACATGTCATTTCAATGAAGGACTGGTCAGTCCCCAGACCAGGTCAGATCCTCCTGTCCTATGTGTTCCCCACACTTTGTACCTCTTTTTCTTAGTTCTTATACTGTTTTGTAATTTGTGAGACATTCATTAATGCAGTGATTGGATTAATGTTTGTCTTCACCATGCGCTGGAAGCTTCAAGAGAAGAGGGACTGTGTGGCTAAGAATCTGAGGCCAGGCAGTCCTGGGCGGAATCCCTTCTCAATACGCAGTAGGTGTGAAAAGTCAGGTTATTTCCTATTCTTTCTATGCCTTGATCTTCTCCCCGGAAAATGAAGTACTAGTAGACTAACCTCACAGAGTCAGTGTGTGGATTGAATGAGATGAGCACATGCTTGAAACGGTGCTTGGCACACAGTAAGCCTCGAACCGCTGTTACTAGGGCCAAATTTAGTGATCACTGCTGTTTCCCTAGCGCATCGCACAAGAAGCCTGGTACACAGCAGATTCTTAGCTGATATTTGTTGAATGAGTGGAGAGATGAGGGACAGACTTGTGGTAAGGATTGCATAAGATGGAGCACTCCAGGCCCAGAGCCTGGAGCATAGTAAGTGCTCAGTTAAGTTTGATGAATGAATATTGAACAATCAAGTGACTCCCCAAGGCAGGGGAGTTCCATCTGTCCCCTCCCTACACCCACGGTCTCTGGACAGGGCCTGGTATGGAAGTGGCGTTGGGGATGTGTTTTCCAAATACTAGAATGATTAGGACGATTCTGCCCCTTCTCCCACCCACAGCCCCAGGAGATCATACCCTACGCTGCTGCCCGAGATGTGTACACGAACACTGTTGATGTGGCTGTTGCAGCTGGAGCAGGCGACAGTGGAGTGACCTGAGGCGGGGTCATAGCCCAGCTTCAGACCAGCTGAAATGGAGATGCCCTCCACACTCAGATCAAAGTCGCCCTTGGCTTTGCTGAAGGGAAAAAAAGAGGAAAGACTTGGAGCAAGCATTTTCTTCCTGCTGTCATTCAAACTTTACATGGACGCTAGAAGCTAGGTTTTGCTATTAGCCCCACTCTGGGTGAGGAGTTGGAGTTCAGAGACGGAAGGTAGCTCACCCAAGGTCACATAGCCGCTTGAGTGAAAGAGCCAGGAATTGATCCCAAAGTTGGAACCTGGGTCTGCCTGGCAGAACCCAGCTCTTACCCACTGCCTCAGCCTCTGCCTGTGCTGTGTGGCTCTAGGGGTGTTTCTTAACCTCTCTGAACTTCAGTTTCCTCACCCAGCCCCTGGACCAGCAATGTGACACCAGCCTTGCCACTAGAAATCTGGGTTTAGAGGGCAGGGGGAATGACTTTAATTAATTAATATCTAGTTCATTAAGTGGGATTAATAACCCCTCCCTCAGGGATGAAAAGAGTTTTGGAAAAGACATTGGATGTGAATGTAATTTGTCAACTCTTCTATCACGTGATGAAGTATTGTTATTTTTTTGTGATCAGTAAGTGAAAGGATAGATACAAAAGAGCCCAAGTGAAGAATTAGGCAATTCTGGTCATGGGGAACCGAAAGACCTAGAAGGCCTTATAAGAGAAGGCAGATCCACACTCCTCTCCTCACCAAAGTACCTCCTCCATTTCCTCCGTGGATTCCCCACAAAGGGGAAGTTGCTAAAGTCACTAATCAGTCTGAGCCACTATCACTGGTGCATAAGGTCTCTGTGGTGAGAGACCAATACTTAGATTCAGAGTTGTCATTTGGATGATTTACCCCAGTTTTCTAGTGTATGAGTTGTTTTAAGCCACTAAATTTGGGATGGCTTGTTACACAGCAATAGCTAACTGATAATGGGATAAATCAAAGGTCCCACTTAGCCTTCCATCCTAAGCCCCGGGAACCAACTCAGCCTTGCCAAGGTCCTGCATTGAGATGTAGACAAATGCTCAGTTATTAACCAAGGGTTATGTTGAATCTTCTTTTGTGAAAAATTCCCCCTGGAACCCTGAGGGGACAAATGGTGATGCTCAAGGCAAAAACTGGGCCTTCCTGAGACCCTGGCTCTCATCCCTTCTGAATGTCACCCAGAGCTCACCCCCAACACTCAACAAACGCCAAGCTTGGAAACGCACATGAAATTCTTCTGTGCCTTCCATTTCCCACTGATCTTGATACTGGCATCTTTGATAGAGAGATCAAGGCCCTGATTAGGCGATGGTCTTATCTGGGAACTGGGAAGCTTGAATCCACGGATAACCATGCTGCAAAAAAGAAATGTTCGGTTAGCCTCATGGGTGACCACAAGAGGACGTGGTCAATGGTCCGTGCAGACTCATTTCCCACCACCCCGGCCCTTTACCCCATTCATTCCAAGAGAGCCCGGAAGCCTCGAGAGCGGCCTCGAGAGCTCTGCAGCTAGGCTTTAGAGTCAGACAAACCCGCATTTGAGTCTTGCTCCTCAGTTGACTAGTGTGTGAGCCTGAGTACATCACTTAATTGTCCTGAGCCTCAGTTTTCCCAATCGTAAAATGGGCACAATCATCTCTACCTTGCAGAATGTGGGGTGATCAATGAAGGTAATGGATGTCATTCTATTGACTACAGAGTCCGTAAAGGGCAGAATGTGTCTGTCTTTTTTCATTATTGTAGCCAAGCCTGTTGAGTCAGACACAGAGTTAAGTGCTCAGAAATGTTTGTTGAAGGATTGGGTGCAAAAAATTCTTTACAGGACATCTGTAGGTTTTCTCCCCAGCACCCATACACCTCTCTTGTGACAACAGAGCTGCATTTTAGTTTGGGGGACCCTTCCCCGCATCCATTCCATGTTGCTCCAAGGAAAGTTGACTCCACCACCATCTTCAGGGGGTGAATGGAGCTTGTGACTTCAGTGCAAGCTCATTCGCATATTCTATTTCCCTGGCCACAGTGATTGGTTCAAGAGTGCGTACGGAATCTAAGATGGACAATCAGAGTGAATCTTAGGGGTTTTGCTTGAGCTATAAGGAGAAAGAGCCCTCCTTCCACCAAGCTGGGAGTGGCTGAGGAGATGCTGGGGGCCCTCTTGCCCCTTTGTGGGGATACCCTACACAAGAATTAGCCCTCCCCAAGGGAAGGGATGCTGAGAGGTGGCAAGAGAGAAACATGGTCCAGTGACACTTGAGACTGCCTCAAGCAGAACCTGAAGCCAGACCATTCCAGGGACTTCTCAGTTGTGGGAGCCGGCAAACTCTGGTTCAGGCCATTTTGGATTAGGTTTTCTGTCCTTGAAAATTCACCACCTCCCCCCTCAAATCCTAATTAATATACAGGCCTGGCACAGTTTTGAGATTCACAACACATCTCCCCAGGAGTCATGGTGAGTGTCTGAAAGAGTTTTTGTGGCTTCCTCCACCCTTAGCCTAGGGGACTGCATCCCCTTGGGATGGTAGAAACACTGGCTTTGGGATCTTAACTTCTCTGAGTTTAGGAATTTGTGGTCCTGGAATTCGAGGTCTTGGTGGCCCCCAAATACTACGCTCCTGCACACCGAGGATGGGGCGGGACAGGCCTTACCTGTAGAAGCTATATTGCCCTTTCCCGAGGTACTTGACCTTAAAGCTTCCTGAGAAGGGCGGAATCGTGATCTTCTCCAGCTCCTTCTGCAGAATCATCACTCCCTGCTGGCAGGCTGAGCGGAGAGAGCAGGGCCGCTGGTCAGAGGCACAGCCAGTTCGTGGCAGGGACGGTGGCATCGGAAAGGTCTAAAGCAGGGCTCAGCTGAGGTTTTTTGTCAAGGGTCAGAGAGTAAATATTTTCGGCTTTATGGGTCATAGTGTCTCTATCACAGCCAGTCGGCTCTGTCTTTATGCACAAAGCAGCCGTAGACAATACGTAAATGAATAGGTGTGGCTGTGTTCCAATAAAACTTTATTGATCGACACTGAAATTTGAATTTCGTATTGTTTTCACATAGCGTGAGATAGGAGTCTTCTTTTGATTACTTTTTCAACTGTTTAAAAATGTAAAAGCTAGGCTCAGTTCCTGGGCCACACAAAAACATGTGTTGGCCCAGATTTGACCTGTGGGCTGTAGTTTGCCAACCCCTAGTTTAAAATATCACCCCCGAAATCCCCAGTCATGCATCCTTTGGGTTTTATTGAACACCTGCTCTGGGTTCTGCCCTCACTGATACTCCATCTCTCCGGCTTGTGGACTCTCTCGCCACAGGACTTTTGCACATTACATTCCTGCTGCCTAGAAGACCCTTCCCTTCCATCTTCACCTGATCAACTTCTAGTCAATTCATTCATCACTTCCTCTAGGAACTTTCTCTGGGAAAATAATGAGAAAGCTCCCCCTTGCTATCATTCTCATGGTGCTGTGGGCATCTCCTTTGGAGCTCCCACTACCATTGGTAATCATGCATTTATTCACAAGAGTTTTTGATTCATCTCTCTCTCCTCTACTAAGCCTCCCAAGATCGGTGGCAGATGTCCCCTGCACTTACCACTGTGACTGGAACTTAACATCTGTTGGATGAATAAATGAATGAATGTCCCAAGGTCAGGAATTCTGCTAACTATTACATAGTTAACAGCACCAAAGAACTAATTAAAAGGCAAACATGTTAACTGAGAAGGAGTGAATAGTATGATGAGGGACCCCAGGGTTTGTGTTTTCCAGGAGCCAGTTAGGAAATAATAATAGTAATCCTAATGACATTTAGCAAGTTCCTACTCTGCACCAGGCATTGTTCTGGGCTCTGCACATCTATTAAGTCACTGAATCTGAACAATCCTAGGTCCCATTACTACTCCCAATTCACAGATGGGGAAGCTGAGACCCAGAAAGGTGAGCACACAGCTGACAGGTGATGCAGGCAGGATTTGAATGCAGGCTTCCTGGTCCCAGAGCCTGCATTTTATTTTTGAATCCCTTGAGAAAAACTTTCTGGGGATTCAAAAGTAAACAATGCATATATGGTCAGTGCCCGGAGGAAAAAGACGATATGGGAGGACCAGGATCTGTGGGTCTGCAGGGGCCACGCCCAGGGCCCTCATGCCAAGCCCAGGACATCTTCTGAGGGCGCTAGGGAGCCACTGAATAGCGGGAATAAACAGGGAAGGACATGAACAGATTTGTTGCAGTTCAGAAAACTCGCCGATTGCCATGTGGGGTGTGAATAGAAAGAGAAACCAAGGCTGCTGTGACAGACATTGAAGACGTCTGGGCTTCAAGGAGCCCAAGCTTCTGCTCCCGGGAAGCTTCAGGGCCACCCCAGCCCTGGGCACAGAGGAGGGCCATGACTCCTTTCTCCTAGCTCACATGAGCCTTCAGTCTGCAGCCCTTGGGTCTCAGAGGTGTCCTTCCCAGGCTGGGGTAGGAGTTCAGGGATGGGACACCAGGTGCCCCGAGGCCTGTCCTGATCCCCCAGGGGTACACCAGCCGCTGAGGTTCTGCCTTCAACTAGGTCTGATCCCCCTGGTGCCAGCCATTCCCCGCTGCTCTGCAGTTCATCTCTCTGCTACTGAAGGCAGCATTGAGCAGCCCCAGGT